GGAACGGCGTGCCCCAGCGGTCATCGTGGTGTCGTATGCCGGCAACGACGTGTGGGGGAAGCACGGGTTCGTCGGCAACACTTGGATTGACTCCAGAAGTGTACACCGGAATCCCGCTGTTCAGCGCGCTGCTTCAGAGTGGCAGGACGAATTGGCGAGGAAGCATTTCGCGCAGTTGGACAGACTCGCGAACTTCCTCCAGCGCCCCGATGTGGGGGCCATATCGATCATAGCATACGCAGACGCGAACTCCTATGGACTCCACCAGGATTACGCGCGCCAGATGTGCTTGTTCGCTGACGCCGCACAGAACAAGGGGCTGCTTGCCGTAACCGGAATACCGCTTACACGAGCCACAACCCGCTACGACGGCTTCCATGCAGAAGATAGCGACAGTAACCGGACGGCTTACTATCGCTACTTCGTCGCCATGGCAAGACTCACGTACCAAATGTGGCGACTGAAAGATTGTGAAGCGCTGCGGAAGCAAGCTCGCCTGCCACCTGTCATGACTCCGAAGGAGGAGAAAGCCCGTGCGGAAGCCGAGGCCCGAGATAGATATCGTGCGTCCTACGTGTTTCTCGAGCCGCATGACCGATTCCCTGAGAACAAGATCATGATCGAACCCAACCTTTGCAAGACATGCGTGTACGCTGATGGACACGAAGTGGCACTGTTGGATGAGATCACTGGCGAGCACTTGAAGGCCACCCCAGAGGAGCTGGAGCGGGCCGGAATCATAGTGCCCCAGGGAACTGGTGAGCCAACAGTTGATATCGCCTCGTCGCCTGAGATGGACTCAAGCGTCAACGAACCTGTGGAGGATGATTTCGTTCCGGACTATGACCCTGATGACGAACCTCATCCAACTCAGAAAACAACGCTTCTTGCTGAGCCAATTGATTCATGCCTGACGAGAAGCTCATGAGCGTGAACGCTGGCAAGAAGGGCGCTTGGGGTCACATATCAAGCGTAGAGATTGCAGAGTCAGACCTTCGTGTCAGATCAGACATCGACCAACCTCCCGAGACTGTCGATGAGATCATTGAGATCGTGGGCGACCACTACAAGGCTGCTCTCGCCGAAGGTTTCCAAGACCCGCAGGAAGACGCTCTTGAATCCGATGATGAAGAGATTGTTTTCAATCAGCAAATCGTCGGAGGTTCAAGCGCGCTGGAAAGCGTTGCCGATAAAATGAAGTTCAACAAGATCTATGCAGCCCAATACCTCGAAGGGGGCGCATTGCATCTTTCAAGGAACCCGCATGGAGCAATCTCCATGTCGAGCAACGCCCTGCGCCATTACACCGAGGCGGTCACAGGCAGAAGTATCCCTCTGCACTTCATCGATGATGACGGAGACGATGATGAACTCCCGCCACCACCGCCTCCGGCGGAACCTTGCCCGTACAAACGAGACAAGGACGGAGTTCACCGTCCGGTCGCAGAGGAACTGCCTGCCCTCAAGAGAAAGACTGCCGCTGATCTCGGTGCGGCTCCTAAGGCGAAGGCAGCGCCAGACAGCCTCAAGAAGCTACGAACTGGTGACAAGGTCGTGAATGTCGACATGTCCAGCTCGGCGGAAGCCGGAGCCCAGAAGGGCTCATCAGAGGTGGTCGACGTTGAAATGGAAGAAACGGCAGGGGCATCATCATCTTCTGCCAATCCTCCCAAGGCGAAAAACATGCCAAAGCCATCATCCGTGCCCAAAGCCGCAGCATCGAGTTCTGCGGCCCCCGGAAGGGATGCGCCCAAATTGGTTCCAGCAGGAGGAACTCCGATCCGCACGACAATGCCGGCAAACCAAGTGCCCGGTGCCGCGGTGATCGGATGGTATGACCAGGAGCAGTTCTTGGTTTCAAAGCGTGTCTCCGGCCTGCTGCGAGGGCATAACCATGCCAATCGACGTGATCGCATTCCGCTTCCGGAATTCCAAGATGGAGCATGGATGGATTTTGCATCGGTGTTCTCATTCATCAAGAGGAGGTACTCTCGCTCCCTCACTGTGTCGGACTTGATTGACATCGTGACGTCAAACCATAGGTTTATGCTCGATGTGCAGCTTGCCCGCGAGGGGGAACTCTTCGCTGATAAGTATCTCTTCCTGCCGGTGCGAATCAAGGCAATCCAATCCCACAGTGACTGGGTCCTGGAGAACATCAACATGGCATGGCCTGAGGTCGACAGAATCATCTGTCTTGACCCGTCGTTCACGGTCGAACGTCTGCTGCGAAGGGAGCATCCTACGCTTCCAGTACGACTTGACTTGCACCTCAAGGACATTCACCCCAAGGTCTTGTACCACTACACTCACATCGCCTTCTTGGATGATGTGATCCGATGTGGCATTTGTCCGGGGGGACTCAGGACTAGCAAGGCTCATTCGTACTTCTCGGCTTTCGATCCGTGGAGCATTCAGAAGACGAGTCAAGCAGGGATGGCCTCGACCAGACCAGTCGCGATTGCAGTTGATGTTGAGATGGCGGTGGCATATGGAATCAGATTCGCCGTCACTCAAAGCCAGGCCGTTGTGACCACCGATTGGGTTCCGAACCAATTCCTCATCTATGCGTATGATGTGTCAGCGAAGTGCTTCATCTATGCAAACCACGATTATGCCAAGGAGAGAGCCTCGTTCAATCAGGACGTCCGAGACATTGTCGTGCGTCGCCGGGAACGGCTTGACCGTGGTGATGAAGCAGACGACAACGCAAGAAGGCAGTCATTGCTGGCAAGGTCAAGGTGGGACCTGTTCGGAAAATATGAGAAATGGGTGCATGGAGCCTGGGTGGAAAATGCCTTCATCCTCGAAAGATACAACCGTGAATTCTGCAAGGATCAGCTCGAGCATGCAGATGCCAATATCGGAACGTATTCAACTCCGTACATGGCGATTGCATGGCAGCCGGAAGGCGATGCCCCCAACAACTCGGCATGGCCTCTCTCGCTGGGATCAGTTGATTGGGCGCATTGGACCCCTGAGATGGAGATGCGCTATGATCCTCGGGGAAACGAAAAGTTCTTCACTTCACGATGGATCACCGTTCGACAGCACGATGTCGAACCACAGCACTGCATGGACTGCGATTCCGACTCCCCATTCGGATGTTTGTCGTGCTTGAACTGTGGACGACTTGCTCGTGTGGCAACGGATATGAGGAAGGCATCGCTGCTTGTCCGTCTGGAAAACTTGGCCGCCAGCTTCGGTTTCGACTTGTCATTAGACATGTTCCCGGATGACGATATTCGTGCCCGGGGGGACCGTGGGCTAAGGAATCCTGCCGGTGGTAGAGTCAGGACTGGACAATCTGCCATTGCGACGATCCGAGCACACGCCAAGTCGCACATGGACAAAGCGTCCAAATTGGAATTTGGCTCGCTCACAGAGCGGTTGTGCTTAGACCCATTCTACGCGTTCAACTGCGCGGCGCAGGACATGTCCCCTGACTGCTTGAAGTTTTTGCAACGACTCAGCTCAGCGGTATTGCCCATTCCGACGCGCACCGCCCAACAAATTCAAGAAGGGGTAGGCGTCAATGTGAAAGCGAAGATCTTGATGATTCCAGACACATCTCAGCGAGAAGTCGATGTGTCGAACGAGGTCTTTGTCTTCTGGAAGAACAAGATCCTACGCCCTGGTGTCTTTGTCGGACTGTACGCAATGGAGCACCACCGCTTCGAGGTACTGGGGTTCTCTGGTTCATTCCTCTCGGAAGAGAAGGACGTTGAGAAGCTGAAAACGGAGTTTGTTGGATGGCTGTCCTCCGACCTCCAAAGCATTCCGTCCTATGAGAACCTGGTGCGAGCAGACCCAAGGAACATCCATGTTCCGGAAAGAGAGGGTGTCGATCGAGTGAAAGGGAAAGGCAAGGGCACATGGCGTCACGGAGGCCGTCAAACCCGTGAGCATGCACCTTACCCAAGGAATCGGTGGGCCCGTGACTGGAGGGACCTCGATGATGACGTTGGTACCATCCCAGGTTGGCACTATGCAGATTGGACCTGGTACCAAGACAACTACGGAGCGGACTGGTGGGGTCGCGGCCGATAAACCCCACCTATGCACGGCGGGAGCCGATGCCTTTTGACAGTTGTGCAGTTCTTTTCATCCAGTGCTTGTGGTAGCGCATTGTCTTTCTAGGTGTCGAAATGCTCTCAAAAGCCTTCGCACGCTCTGCGGAAGCAGTAGCCTCACGTTCAACTTCTTTGAGGCTGTCCGCATTCTTTGCAAGGCTTTAATTTGTTTTGCCGAAGTGCACTCTTCCTAAAAGGAAGCATCTCTCAGCATGCCGCGTGGAAACGTGTGCCTACGTAAAAGGCCCATTTCCAATTTGACGAGCTGTGGATGCATGTGAAAAGCGCTGCGTCCAATCTTCGATCGTCCGTTCGGCAGTTGACTTCATAACTTAATCGAATAAATCGTCGTTCCCTTGCGCCTCAGGTCGGCAAAGAATCTATGAAAGCTATAGGCGCGTACGGTGTTAACCACGAGGGAAACACCGGGGAACCGGAGGTCAGAAAGGTATGCACGTTGTCCCGTGTACATAGTCGTGTATAGAGTTCTTCACTACCTTTGCTGCCAAGTGCGTTCAGCGGGGGGTGTATTTGCACGATTGTACACCTGTACATACCATATTGACCTCTATGTTTGGCTCAAGAAAAGGGCGCTCTACATGTTGGTACTTGTAGGCTGTTGGCCTGTAAATTCACAAATCTGAAGTCCCAAATCATAATGCAAAAGCTGAAGAGGCAAAACATCCACAAGACCTAGGTCAAGAGCCTTAGGATAGAAACATCACAGTACTTGAGCCTAGCCCTTCCACAAGTCCTATCCCATTAGACCAGTTGGGGCATGTTTGGAGCAAACAGGACACATGACATAGGTCTTATGGAACATATGCCACAAGTCCAGTGGCCACTTCAGGGCCTAAAGCCAAAGTCATCCGTGCCCAGTATATTCGCGCACTCATCTCTTCAACCCGAGCTTCTTCGCCATGGAAGGCGACGTTGATGCTTTTGGTGATCCATTGGCTGCTGACGCCCTTCATGATGACCCTGGGAACTCAAAGCCCTGCGGTGTGCTGTGCCTTGGCCTCGGCTCAGACGTTGGGCCGGGAAGGGCATCAGCTCTGCACGCGGGAAGCGCTTCCTTAGCACGAGAAAAGGCGGAGTGGAGCAGTCCTAGCTGGTCCTAGCTACTTGGAGTGGCCTGTTTAAAGTCAAAAGTGCCCCCCCACTGAGGAAAGGGACTTGGATGAGGTTCATGTGAAAAACCCAGAGGGCGAAAGCTTTGAGAAAGCTTAGCGAAGTGACATTTGGATTTGCTGTTGCGAAGGTAGTTGCGAAAGCTTTTCTGAACTACATGTCCTTTCTGTCAATACACGTCAAAGAACGACGGTTCCGCCGCAAAAGCGGCGAGAAAGTACATACTTGGAAACGAGCCCCACGAAAGCAAGAACACAGGTCGCAAAAAGTGCAAAGCATTCGTGAAAAATGCCTAGCTCATTAGAACCCTGCTGCAACCAGTTGTTTTACACAGCTCAATTAAAAACGTGTTGCATGGCTCCGCCTGACCAGATGAACCTTGTTGTTCTTTTTCCCTTCTGGAAGACTTGAAGACCAACAAAACCAAGACATTTTTACTTTCGTGACTGTGTTCATCCTCTGGGTTTTGCATTCTATTTCCATCGAGCTCCTTGGCTTGGAACTGCCGCGATGGCAGGTGGGGGCTACAGGGAGTGGGACAGACTGGCGGATGTTAGCCTTTGGAAGGAGGTTTTTCGCGAGGCCAAGCGTCACACCATGTCACCCCCCCCCGGTGGATTCGGAAGTTCGATAATCCGAAGCGATTCCAGGCTCGAGAACCCCTTCGGGGCAGATGCCAATGACTTGGACGTCCATGACATGCAGCATGACATGAACAACCGACTGCTCCTCCTCTTGGACCCCATCAGTGCGATCATCCCCACCTTGTCGGGGAATCAAGTGCAGGATCACGTGCCTTGGCAGGATGGGCCACCGAACGGGTGGTGAAGCTTGGCTTTTGGCCGTGTGAGAGCAAGGCTTGGAGAGATGGAGAGCTTTTTTCCAGGAAAACGGCTCCATTGTTTTGGGATGCGTGTCTCTAGGAGTCATATAGTGTCATATAGTTTTACTGTAAATTTGTCTATTTGTCTATCTGTCCGTCCGTCCATCCATCTGTCTACCTACCTACCTGCCTGCCTGCCTGCCTGCCTGCCTACCATGTCAATAGGAGTTCTTCAAGTAAATTTCCAACACTTGACTTTGAGATGTCCCTGGGACGGGGACCTCAGCCATGCTCGATTCAGTGTGGTGTTTGCAGACAGACAGACAGACAGGCAGACAGGCAGGCAGGCAGGCATACAGACAGATAGACCGACCGACCAGACGGACCAGACCGACAAGACAAGACAAGACAAGACAA